TTTTTTTTTTTTTTTTTTTTTTCCCATGGGGTTTTTTTTCCTTCCCCTTTGAAGTTCTTTCCCACAGCGAAGTGATGGAGTTTTGATGTTGGTGCAGAGGGAATCTGGACTTTTGGTTTGTGATACGAATCAAGTTTTGAGTATGCGCAGATGGGGCTGTGCGCTCGCACATGCGGTTCAGTAGTTGTGAAGGGTATGCCTACAGCTGTGGGCAAGATCAAAGCACTATCCTGATAATAATCTACAATTACTATGGTAACTGTTGAGTAAACAGCAGCAAATGATGGCATAAAACTTGGATGCCTTACCAGAGCTTATGTAAGGGATGTTCCAGACAGTCTCAACCAATGCAGTTCCCTCTAGACAAACAAAGGTATTTTGAAGAATGTCTTAATTTTTCACGTTGGAATATAACATTCCCATTTCAGATGTGTTCTCTTCAGAATGTTCTGTTCGTGTGTATGTACCTGGAGGTACATGTTGAACTCCTGTATACATAGTGCACAGGTTTAAATTACACTGGAAATCTTTTCAGAGCTTATGGCACAGTATGCAGCCAGTACAGTGATACGTTCAGATTACTAAAATGAAGATCGAGGGTTGTGGCTGGCAACAAAAGAATAGCTCTTAAAACATGCCTTGTGGTACTGTTAGTCCAGCAGCTGGGTGGATAAAACTTCCGTTTCCTTCCGTGCAATGATAAATACAAGGGCGGGCTGGGGGGGGTTGTCTGGGTTTGTTTTTTTTTTTTCCTGAAATTTTCTCTCTCTTAATTGCAAAAGTTGAGGTTTGTTTAAGAAATCAAAGCATTTGGTAAAGAAGAAGCCTTCATGTACAGCTTATACTGCAGCTTTGAACATAAGTTTTCCTTCTTTCGCTTGGTGCCATTTGCTTTCCACCCTAATGACCTCAAACTGCCTCATGTGTACATTGTTTCCATTAAACCTCAACTGCTATTTCTTCTACTAAATGTTGTATAATTTAGTTAACTCATCCCATAGGTGTTTCCTTACGAGTATAGCTTGGTACTTTGAATAGATAATGTAAATATGCCATTTAAGTTTGTAACTTGTTTGTTACATCATATCCTTGTAAGTTGACATAGCAGATAACACCGTAAAAATTGTTCAAATGTTTTTTTTTTCCTGTAATTACCTGATCAAAAATATCTTGAAATGAAACAACTGACATGTTTCTCCATTCTGTGTTGGGATTACTCAGAACAGCATGTATGAAATTAAATGTTGCAGCCCAAGAACAGAATAAAAAGATGTAAATACAGGTAATCATTGTGCCATAGTATTCTGTTTACTAGTTAAACAAAATGTTAATCAGATCATTTTATGTTTTTAAGACTGGTCAAAGAAACATTGTATTACCTTCAAGCTCCAGCATCTTTCATCATAAGAACTGTTTTTAAGAGATGCTATAATGTTTTAAACAAAAGTGTGCCTGTGCTGGCTTGCTTTATATCTGCAGCAGTACTTGTCCTTGACATGATGCTATGGAGGTCACTATTCCTTCATACAAATCATGTTTATCTGAGTTCCCACTCAACCCCACCACAAAAATATGTATCTCTGCATATCATTCTAAGCTTTGTGCAAGTTAAAGAATAAGACACGCACTGGAAAAGGAAGGAAAACTGATCAGTCCATGAAAAATAATGAACACATAGCAATCTGTGAGACTGTAATTTGAAAGTTCAGTGATCAGGGTTTAGGACGGATTATTCTAAACTGAATTGTATTTGCTTCTAGCTTTTGCAGGTGTTTTCTTGTTGGGTACAACCAATAAAGTAATTCTCATTGTTCTTCTGATCAGTTTCTAAGTTGAATTTTATTATTACCGGGTGTAATCATTACATGGACTATTAACTGTTGATACTTGAGCTTTTAACTGATTTGAAAATGCAGCTCTACCAGAGAGAGGAAACAGGCAAATAATGGCAAACAAGGTGAGGGGTTAATAGAGAATGTTACAGGGCTATGTGAAGACCAGATGTAAGAAAGTGACTGATTAAACACGGTTTCATAAAAATTAAAAACCTAGTGTTCGATCTCAGACAAATCCACTTTATCATCATCGATAATGTGCAGTCTTCTCGTTTTCTGGCTGCTTATAAATTAAATCAAGACTATAGTCTATAGACCACAGACCTGGTGGCCAGTTTCTAAAGAGAGTTCATAAAAATATCCCAATTAGTCCTTGCCATATAGCAATTAATACTCAGAGTTTTGTATCACTGATTCTTGAACCTTTTGGCTTCCTGTCATGGATCACTGCGCTCCTGTACCAGAAGAGGAAGACTTCATTCGGTCTGTAGGGTTAAAGCATCACTTCTATCATTTCGGAACACTGAGCTATATAATGTAATTTAAGAGCTTGGAAATGGACATAACAAGTAAATGGATGAGAGTCAAAAATAATCCCAGATTTCACGCCTTTGACTGGAGGTTGGTCAGCATGTGCATGCACACACAATGGGATCTGACCAAATTAGGCTTTGAGTACCTTTGAGTATTGTATAATGTGAATGACTGGCAATGTTTGTTTTCACCTGAAGGAAAAGAAAGAAAGAGGTAAGTCCGTTCTTCAAGGAGCTTGTAGCTCTAGATATCTATGCCCTGACTTGAGAAATTTGGGAATATTTGAGGAGATAATGACTTTCACTGACAGAATAAGCCTCTCGGATGAATT